GTACAACTTATGTAGGAGGATTTGTTTCATCTCTGTGTATCACCTGAGGCCAGTCACTTCACTGGGTATATGTAAGGGTTTGCAACTATTTTAAACAACTGTTGGCTGGAAAAGGCTGGAGGATACTGGCAGCACTGAGATGTAAAAAAATTATGAATATAATTCTAAAGACAGTATTTAATTTAACAAAAATGGCGATTATACTGTTGCCTTTGAAAACGTAATTTCCTCCAGTAAAGAGTTTCATCCCCTTTTAATCATTTACCTACTACAGATTATCCAGGAAGCTTTTGAAGATATCGACCAATAAAAGATAAGTATGTACTGTAGGTTTCCTGGGGATTTCATGCTGTCACTTACCCTAAAAGAGTACTTTTCTTCATTTGGAAGCATACCGTCTCTTTGAACAGTGTTTTCAGGCCCCAAGAGCTTAATGGGAAGGTGTTTCAACAGCGTACAGGAGGAGAGAAAACTTTGTCGATTTTATTGTGTAATTGCTTACCGCAGTGGTGGCCAACCTGTGGCCTGTGTGCCACATTTGGCCCTTGGAGCCCTTTAATGTGGCCCTCGAACCTCAAACCAGGGAAGCCCATTCCTGGGGTCTGCAATCTGTTGATCACAATCCAGGCTTGCCGACCCTCCAAGCTACATGTTATAGTGCATCAGGCCGGCGTCAGCCGCAGAGAGAGCAGGAGCTGCATAAGACAATGCTTCCTCTGCAGCGCCAGCTCCTGTCCCAGGCTGAGTGACACCAAGTGTACTTCGCCTGGGACCTTCCTAGCAGCCTAGAGAGCGATGCCAGCAGAAGCTGCAAGAGGAAAAGGTCAATTAAACATCACATACACTGGGCATAATAGGTTTCGCAATGGGCATATTAGCACCTATAACAGGGTTGACAACTATTAGGCTGCTTTCACACTGATGCGCGGGTGCAGCGCCGTGTACCTGCAGCTTTCCTGTGGGTTAGCTGCATTGAACCATAGACTTCTATTCAGGGGCGTCCCTAGGGTTGGTGTCACCCGGTGCAGTAACACTTGGTGACACCCCCTCCGATGATCCCCACAGAATAGATCAGATCTGCGGATTGAGCATAATGGATCAGACTCCGATCCATTATGCTCCCCAGTCCACAGATCCCATCCACCCTGCGGGGATCGTTGGCATGCAACCTATACGGGGTAACACCGGACCTGCTCCACAAAAAGGTAAGTTGTAAAGAAAGCCGACGAGCCGACGATCCCCGCGGGATGGATCGGATCCATCTCGTGGGGATCGTCGGCTTGCTTTACAACTTACCTTTTCGTGGAGCGGGTCTGGTGTCACCCCATGCGGTTGGTGTCACCCAGTGCGGGCGCACCCCCCCGAACCTGCCTCAGGACGCCACTGCTTCTATATCCTGTGTGTTTGGTGCCCTTTCAGAAAGTGCACCACACCGACAAGATAGAATAGGAGTTTATGGCAAAGCGCAGCTGACCCGCAGAAAAACCGAAGGTGCCCTGTGCTGCACCCATGCTGCAGGTAAACCACATTATGAAAGCAGTCTTATAGGGGACTCAGGACAGTAAGGGCTCATTTACATTTACCCGGTGTGGACTGATAACTCATGGGGCCCCCGGGCAATAGGGGATCATGGGGCCCCTGTGTCCTTGCCCAAATTCAAAAAAGCCTATGAAAAAGGTACCAGGGGCATCTCATGGGGCCCCCTACTGACCCCGGGCCCTCGGGCAGTGCCCGAGTTTCCAAATGGTCAGTCCGCCCCTTACATTTACAGTTTGGGGGACAGTAAAACCCCACAATTGAAACATGTTTTTCCACACCCACCAACCACTGGTGTGGCATCCACTTGGACAGTAGAAGCGAAGGGGGGGGGCATACACAGGAACTGATCCTCTCCATTTTCCTTCTGCAATCTCTGAAAGATGGCTTCTCCTCCTCTCCCTCCCACCGGCATTCAGCAGCTGCAGGAGGAAAATCTTCATTATGCTATTCAAAATAAAATATTTGAAATTCTGAACCATGCAGCCCATGAGCAGTTACCAAATCCCTTAAAGGCCCTCGCTTTCCAAAAGGTTGAGCACCCCTGGCTTACGGTCATAGTACTGGCACAAATGGATCCAATCACACCACCATGGTCCTAAACAACTGAAGCTTAACCATATAGTACAATGACGGGTGCAAGGCGGTTCTCTCGGTCTGATAGGATGTCATATGACGTCCTTCCATTCTCACCGCGCATGCGTGGCTCAGGGAGCGCGCAGCGCTGCGATCGCCGGTGCGCTGTGTCCCTCGGACACAGCAGATCATGGATAGAGCCAAAGATGTCAGCTCGGTCATGTGATCAGCTGTGTCCAATCACAGCTGATCACATGTAAACACGGAAATGCTGGTTATCAGCATTTCTCTCCTCTCGAGCTGTCATGCTGACAGCTTGAGAGGAGAGGAGAGCCGGTAATTGGCTTTCCGCGGAGGGGACATGTACACTGATCATCAGGGCACTGTGTGCCCTGATGATCAGTGTGGCCCCAGAAGTGCCACCTGTCAGTGTCCATCAATGCCAGCAGTCAGTGCTCATCAGTGCCACGTGCCAGTGCCCATCAGTGCCACATCAATGCCACATATCAGTGCACATCAATGCCACATATTAGTGCCCATCTGAGCTGCCTTTCAATGTCACCCATCAGTGCCAGTCAGTGCCACCTATCAGTGCTGCCAATCAGTGCCACCTATCAGTGCCAGTCAGTGTCGCTTATCGGTGTGCATCACTGCTGCCTATCAGTGCTAGTGTAGTGCCAGTCAGTGGTGCCTATCAGTGCCAGTCAGTGCTGCCTAACAGTGCCAGTCAGTGTGCCTATCAGTGCCATATATCAATGCCATATATCAGTGTCATGTATCAGTGCTGCCTTTCAGTACCCATCAGTGATGCCTGTCAATGCCCATCAGTGCCACCTACCAGTGCCTCCTCATCAGTGTCCATCAGTGCCACCTATCAGTGCCCATCACTGCAGCCTCATTAGCGCACATCAGTGAAGGAGAAAAATCACTTATTTACAAACTTGTATAACTAAAACTAAGAAAAAAAGTTTTTTTTTTCAAATTTATAAGTGGTTTTTGGTTTGTTTAAGAAAAAATAAAAATCCCAGAGGTGATAAAATACTACCAAAAGAAAGCTCTATCTGTCTCTCAAAAACAGGGTTACAAATTTCATATGGGTACAATGTTGCATGACCGCGCAATTGTCATTCAAAGTGTGACAGCGCTGAAAGCTGGAAATTGGCCTGGGCAGGAAGGGGGTATAAGTGCCCTGTAGGCAAGGGGTTAAAGGAAAGCTCCATGTATACTGAGTTATAAACATTCCCCCTGGGTGCTCTATGTACATTGCAAGGATTTGAACAAACTTTGTTGCAGATTCCTACCTGTTTCTGGAATAGCTCTTTGTTAGCTCATGTCTTACACAGGACTGAATTTGAAAGGGAGTAACTAATTCATTAAAAGCAGTTGATGCACTTTTGGGGTTCTAATTAGAAAAGTTGCAGTATCTGCATCCCTTTAGAAGTGAATAACCCTTTAGGGCAGTGGTCGCCAAATTTTGGCCGGGGGGCCAAATGCGGCCCTTTGCTTGCCTTTATCTTGCCCTTGGGCCACCATACTGACACCAATGATGGGGCACCATGCCTCCCTTCTGATACCATAAATGGGCACTATTCTTCTTATTGATACCAACAATGGGGCCCTATTCCTTCCAAACAACGATGAGACACTGATGTATTTTCTACTTCCACGGACCACAGTCTGGCCCTCCTAAAGCATGAAGGACAGTAAACTGGCCCTTTGCTTAAAAAGTTTGGAGACCCCTGCTTTAGGGAGTGTTTCAGCAAAAATGAAATTTCTGTTGAAGGAGATGCCTAAAACCTGACTTGTACAGTATCTTAGTACAGAGTTCATCACACAAGCAGGAAGGGGATCTGAGGGGTTCTGTACACCAACTGTATGGAGAATACATCCAATGTTGCAATATTGCATTGAATTTGTACAAAAATTACAGTGGCTGCACTTTGAAAAGGAAAGGTCATTTTTAACTATAAAAGCTATAATTTCTGGGGAAATTGTGGGAAGTGTTCTTGCCTCCACCAGTAGTCTACAACTGGAGTGGGCGGAGTAACTGGGTGGAGTGGGCGGAGTAACTGTTGTGTGGTTGGAGTGGCTGGAGTAACTGTGAAAAGGTTGGACTGGGCAGAGTAACTTTATGGAGTGGGCAGAGTAACTGTGTGGAGTGTTTGGAGAGAGTAAAGATAGTAAACATTACACTAACCAATTGATTGATCAAATTTAAAAAGTGCACATGGCAAGCTTGATAGAGTGAGAAATGCATTTCAACTTTTAATTATTTATATAGCACATTTAATTGCAATGTTGTTGCCCAAAGTGCTTCCCAGTTACATGAAAAAAATGAAGGCACAGTCGCAGTTTAGAAATTGCCCTTCAAATTTGAGGTGGCTAGAGTGCAGTTTCAATGCATGTCAATGGGCGGCGTGAGTTGCAAACAAATGGTCATATTGTGAAAACTATCAGGACTATGGCTTAGCCGTGGACATTTGTAGTGGCAGCAGGGATAGCTGAACGTTTTGATATAAGATTTGTGTAGGTGGGCTTGAAAATGAGGGAGTGATGGCAGTTTAGAAATCATGTCCTGATTTTTCAGCTCACACTCTAGCTTTTGTCAGCTCCCACTCTAGTTTTGAACATTGCGCCATTCATTCCTATGGGACCAATTTCACCACAAAAACGCCGATATTTCATGAACCATTCGGCGAAACGTTCCACAAAGTAATAGCACACCAATCGGGAACAATCCGCACGTTTCAGTATATTACTGTGTATGTAGTGTAAAAACTGTGGGAGGAGTTAGGGGGGTAAATTTGGCTATAATAAGAATATATATGTGAGATAACAGTAAGTGGTCGCCATGCAAGAACACTTAATAACACTAAATTACAATGTGGCTATGTAAATATCTGAAATGAACCCTTGGATTATCCTCTTGTAACATCTTACAGAGCTGAAATCAAAATGAGAGTTGGAGGATCTACACCAGCGTTTTTCAACTTTTTTACTCAAAAGGAACCCTTGTAATAATTTTCAGGCCTCAAGGAACCCCTGCTAAGATTAGTCCATTGGTGGTGATTGGGAGAAAGCCCCTTACATTGGTGATGGTCACCAAGGAGAATACTCCCCAGGGGCGGACTGACCATTTGGAAACTCGGGCACTGCCCGAGGGCCCGGGGTCAGTAGGGGGCCCTATGAGATGCCCCTGGTACCTTTTTCATAGGTTTTTTTGAGTTTGGGCAAGGACACAGGGGGGCCCCCCATGATCCCATATTGCCCGGGGGCCCCATGAGTTGTCAGTCCGCCCCTGATACTCCCCTACAGTGGTGGCCACAATGCCACCCTTACAGTTATGCAAAGCGAAACAGAAAACAAGAAGCGCATCAACCTTGCGCATTACCTCAGTAACAGAATTTATTAATAGAAGATAGGTACTCACAAACAGCGAATAAAATCAGTCATGTAGTCCTCAAAGGGACTTCAAAGATAAGAAGCCAACGCGAATCCCATCATGGGGGTAGACACTCAGTATAGCTGACGCGTTTCGAAGGCTATGCCTCTTCCTCAGAGCTAACTGGACTGAGAGTGTTAGCTCCCTTTATACCATCTGACTAGAAATTGGCCCTCCCTAATGGGTTGGGCAGTCTCAGGCTGGGGGGAGTACCTATCTTCTATTAATAAATTCTGTTACTGAGGTAATGCGCAAGGTTGGTGCGCTTCTTGTTTTTTGTTTTACTTTGCAGTATCGATCGGGCTTCCCCAGCCCTGTTTTGGAGCTGCACAACCTTGAAATATACTGGTGGTCGCTTGCTCTGGTGTTGGTTCCATCTATTGCCACCGGTCTGGGCCCTAGAGCGCAGGAGAAATCGCAGCTGACCCTTACAGTTATGCCTTTGGTTCTGCCAAGTGGTGTTGGACCTGAAACTATGGAGGCACCATGACATGGAAGGTCAGTTAGTCGCATCTCAAGGAATCCCTGGTTACCTCTGGAGGAACCCTAGGGTTTCATAGACCCCTGGTTGAGAAAGTCTGATCTACACTGTGAGCCACTACATTGCATAAAGCTACCAACAGAACTTTATTAAGTATATGGGAGCTGGAAGGGCAGATGTATGGGTAGCCCACAGGGAAAACTGAGCATATGGCGGGCAGTGTGATATTTTTTCCCTGTGCACTGAGCAGACAGATGTCAGTGCTTCCTTTTCATGAGCATCCTCACGCCTTGACAGACAGCCTGCCAGCCTGAATGAATTCTAATTATCCCGCAAGAGATACTGTTTGTGAATAGTGGAGGGATGCGCCACCATGCCACCTGTAGATAAGAAACCGTTTTGTTACAAAACCCATACACTTTTATTCAAGGTTCGCCTTTAGATTGAAGCTTGTATTTTTTATTCATTTGTGCTCTGCAAAAAATAAAAATGTTATCTGGCAGGAAAAATAAAAAAGCGCAAGGCACTTGGCGCCGTTGAATTACAATACTGAGCGAGTCATTGGAATTACAAATGCTTTGCCAGGTAAAAGGTTCACATATTCAGAAAGCATGGGCACTGTGCAGCCTTTTGCTTGGAGTTTGAAACCCAAATGGAACGTTCGGTAAAAACTGACTACATTAACGGTACATCAAAACAAAAAGTGTGCAACAACTTATAGCTGACTTTTTTTTTTACACAGTAGACACAGAATAGAAAAGCCTGTCCCCTGCCAGCATTGTACAGTAAAGGGCTCTTGCTCCCTGTTTGGAAGCAGTGGTCTCCCTGCAGAGGTCCAACATGCCCCATGCTGATTCAGACCTATTGACCTGCAATTAAAGCTCATGCTCCCTGCTTATTGGAGAACTCTAGCCCTGACTCAAAAAAGGGTTTGTCATACATCTACACCAGCCTTTGTCAACATTTTTGGCCCCGAGGTACTCTTAAGAATAATTTTTAGGTCTCAGGGAAACCCTGCTAAAATTAATTAACCAGGGGGATAATGGAAAGAAGTTATTCTTGTAGTTAAAGCAGAGCTCCACCCAAAAGGGGAAGTTCCGCTTTAAGGACTGCTCCCCATTAAGGATTGGCACCTTTGGGGAGCGGGGAGGAGCGGGTACCCGAATTTGACAGGTACCCGCTCCCACTTCTGGTCCAATCGCCGCGGCAATCCGAAACGGAAGGAGTCCTCCCCCCTCCCTGCCTGTAGACTTTTGGGACACGTGACAGGTCCCAGAAGACTACAGGACCATTCATGAAGCTCAGCGCTTCTCTCGCATGCGCAGCGGGTACCTGGCTGTGAAGCTGCAAGCTGTCACAGCCGGGTGCCCACACTGAAGATGCTGGCCTCCTGGAATACAGGATGGCCGGTGGAACGAGCTGCGGGGGATACACCGCAGGACCGAGGGACAGGTAAGTGGCTGTTTTTTGATAGGTCGAGTGGAACTCCGCTTTAATAAGAGTCCCTACAGCAGGCAAGGAACGGATTTATGAAAAAAAAAAAAAAAAAGCAAACTTGCACGTCTGTTTTTTTTTATGCACCTGAAAAGTATTTATCTGATTTAAAATTTAATTTTAATTGGGCTTTTACGCAGGCCATACATGGGTCAAATTCTGAACGATTCTTTGATTGAAAATCAAAAATATCTTTCGTTCTGTAATCCGATGGTGCCACCAATGATTTCTAAAATCGGTCGTTTTTCACAAATTTGACAGCATACCTTGATAAATGAAATGGGAAGGAACCACGAAAAAATCAGCCGGTGCCATTGCCACCACTAACAAAATGATTATTCTTAGGTCCGATTTTCAAATGTAAAATCATTCGGAAATCGACCCATGTATGGCCGGCCTACGACTGGATTTTTGGATTCCTGCACATGTCTAATTTTTACCGCTAGACTGGGAAAGTGAAAGATTCAGCATTCTTGTAGTTAAAGCGGAGCTCCACCCAAAAGGGGAAGTTCTGCTTTAAGGACTGCTCCCCATTAAGGATTGGCACCTTTGGGGAGCGGGGGGGAGCGGGTACCCGAATTTGATAGGTACCCGCTCACACTTCTGGTCCAATCGCCGCGGCAATCCGAAACGGAAGGTGTCCTCCCCCCTCCCTCCCTGTAGTCTTTTGGGACACGTGACAAGTCCCAGAAGACTACAGGACCATTCATGAAGCGCAGCTCTACTCGCACATGTGCAGTGGGTACCCGGCTGTGAAGCCACAAGCTGTGCCCACACTGAAGATGCCGGCTTTCCTGGAATACAGGACGGCCGTTGGAATGAGCTGCGGGGGACAGCTGGTGTCATTGCCACCACTAACAGAGCGAAAATCAGCCGATTATTCTTAGGTCAGATTTTCTAAAGCAAAATCGTTCGGAAATCGACCCATGTATGGCCGGCCTACGACTGGATTTTCTGATTCCTGATATGTCTAATTTTTACCTCTTCTGTTGGTAGCAGGGGCCGGACTGACCATTTGGAAAACTGAAAAACTCCCAGAGACTGCATTTCTCCATTCTGCCTTGTTGCTAAGATGTTGCTAAGACACTCCCGGCCAGGGGCGGACTGACCATTTAAAAACTCAGGCTCTGCCCGAGGGCCCGGGGTCAGTAGGGGGCCCCATGAGATGCCCCTGGTACCTTTTTCATAGGCTTTTTCGAGTTTGGGCAAGGACACAGGGGCCCCATGATCCCCTATTGCCCGGGGGGCCCCATGAGTTGTCAGTCCGCCCCTGGTTGGTAAACTGGGAAAGTGAAAGATTCAGCATTCTTGTAGTTAATAAGACACCCTACAGCAGGCAAGGAACGGATTTATAAAAAAAAAAAAAAAAAAAAAAAAAAGTATGCTACAAATTAAACCATCTTGTTCCATTATTAAAGTAAAAAGACTATAATGAAAAACTGGCGCATTTCCGCAGCTTCTCCTGGGCTGGCGGCGACATTACATACCCCTTACCGCGGTCTGTTCTCTCTCACGCTGGACGAAGGACAAAAAGCTTTGTCTGAATGCGGCATGCCGTTCCTCTTTAATGTTGTAATGAGTCATTTTTCCGGTGGAATTTTTTTTTTCCCCCTCGCTGCCAGTTTAGTCTGTTCTGAGCTATTTTAATTTTTTTTTTCTTGTTATTTGATTTCTCCTGGCAGGAAGGCTATTCATTTTTGCAGAGCAAAAGAAAATGGGAAAATTCAGGGTTCGATCTCAAGGTAAACCTGTATGAATAAAAGCCTACGGGTTTTTGTCACCAAAAAAAAAAAAAAAACGGTTTCTTATCTACAGGCGGCACCCTCTATTCACAAACAATATCCATGGCGGGATAATTAGAATGCATTCAGGCTGGCGGGCTGTCCGTCAAGGCGCGAGGCTTTCTCGTGAAAAAGGAAACAGTGTTTTTCTCAACAACGGCTTGACAACAAATCAACGGGTTGTATTGTCAAGCCTTGTACTGTGTGGAGGACTGAGGGACCTGGGTAGGACGACGCGGCGGTAGGTCGCGTGGATGGAGATGGACAAAGCAATAAAAGGGTCACATGGCCACTGCCTGCTGGCCGCCATGACAATACTGAAGCCATGCTGTTCTCTTTTATGAAACCTCGGCCATGTCAAGGCCGCCATCCCCGACTTGGTTTGTGTGTGCACCCAGGCACTTGTGTTTCATCATAACAAAAAAAAAGCATGAATGGAGGCTGAAAAAAAAATCAGTTTGTGATAGATTGAACCCTGTTAGTTCTTTAACCACTTCCAGACCAGACACTTTCCCCCCCCTTCCTGTCCAGGCCAATTTTCAGCTTTCAGCGCTATCACACTTTGAATGACAATTGCGTGGTCATGCAACACTGTACCCGTATGAATTTTTTGCCATTTTTTTGAGACACATAAAGCTTTATTTTGGTGGTATTTATTCACCGCTGGGATTTTTATTTTTTTTACTATGTAAATGAAAAAGTCCAAAAATTTTGAAAAAAAGTTTTTTTTTTTTATAAAATTTTGCAAATAAATATTTCATCATAAATCTTGGCCAAAATTTATTACGTTATTTTTTTAGTAAAAAAAAAAAATCCAAATTAGTTTATAACCAAAAATTATAATTTTTAAACATTTTTTTTTACATTTTTATTTTATTTTTTTATATTATTTTTTTTTTTTTATTTTTTTTTTTTTTTACATACTGTCACCCTAGCATGGTAAAGTGAAGATTTTTTTTTTTTTTTTTTTTTTTTTTTTACACTGATTGCTTTTACACCCATATAGGATGTAAAAGCAATCATTTCTCTTTCTCTCTATCTGCATTCTTGCAGTCATTGAGAAGTACTGAGTGAGCTGTGATTGGTCACAGCTTGTCACATGGTACAAGGCTGTTGTGAATAGCCTTGTACCATGTGACCTCTGTGATCATTCACAGATTTCACACGTAGTAAGCAATGATGTCAGAAGTGACATCTTGCTTACTACTTTGCATGTGATCACTGATTGGCCAATCAGTGATCACATGATCGGGACCTCGTACAGAGGTCCCGTCTGACGATTGGTGTTTCACTGTGTCCGGAGAACACAGCGGGCACCGGATTGCGGTTGCTGCGTGCTCCCAGGGAGCGCGCACAGCTAGAAAAGGCGGGTGCCGTTTATAAACGGCAACCCGCCCCTGGACTGCCACCGCCCTGCCGTTTTATAAACAGCAGGCGGACGGCAAGTGGTTAAAGGCAAAGCTAGTCCCCAAAAAAACTGCCTCTGCAAGTAAGGGGCGCCTGTAAATACAAACAAAACTCTGCAGCTCAGACCAATGTTGGATCATGGCCTTGCTATAGGTGTAGGCCAGTGGTCGGCAAGCCGCGGCTCGCGAGCCACATGCGGCTCTTTACCCAGTCTAATGCGGCTCTTCTGTGTCCCCGGGCGCCTGCTCCCCTCCCTCCTCTCGGTAAGCCCGCTCCCTGCCTCCTCTCTCGGTTGGCAGCCCATTAAAAAGTCCCGCTTTCAAACCTTTTAATCCGGCCTGCGGATGTGGGCTGTCAGGATGTGTGTGTAGGCGGGGCAGCGTGCCGAACGTGAGGGGAGGGAGCTAGGCTCCTCTCACAGTCTGCCCTGAAGACCCGAACGGCGCGGGAAGACAGCGAGAGGAACGCAAAAGGTAAGTGAATTGACACGGGGGACTTGGCTTACTAGAAGGGGGGGGGGGGAATAGTACTGTGGGGGATGAAATACTATATGAGGGATGAATTACTTTATGAGGGATGAAATACTATATGGGGGATGAAATACTATATGGGGGGATGAAATACTATATGAGGGATGAAATACTATATGAGGGATGAATTACTATATGAGGGATGAAATACTATATGGGGGGATGAATTACTATATGGGGGGATGAAATACTATATGAGGATGAATTACTATATGAGGGATGAAATACTATATGGGGGGATGAAATACTATATGAGGGATGAAATACTATATGGGGGGATGAATTACTATATGAGGGATGAATTACTTTATGAGGGATGAAATACTATATGGGGGGATGAAATACTATATGAGGGGATGAAATACTATATGAGGGATGAAATACTATATGAGGGATGAAATACTATATGAGGGGATGAAATACTATATGGGGGATGAAATACTATATGAGGGATGAAATACTATATGAGGGATGAAATACTATATGAGGGATGAATTACTATATGAGGGATGAAATACTATATGGGGGGATGAAATACTATATGGGGGGATGAAATACTATATGGGGGGATGAAATACTATATGAGGGGATGAATTACTATATGAGGGATGAAATACTATATGGGGGATGAAATACTATATGAGGGATGAATTACTATATGAGGGATGAAATACTATATGGGGGGATGAAATACTATATGAGGGATGAATTGCTATATGAGGGATGAAATACTATATGGGGGGATGAAATACTATATGAGGGATGAAATACTATATGGGGGGATGAAATACTATATGGGATGAAATACTATATGGGGGGATGAAATACTATATGAGGATGAAATACTATATGAGGGATGAATTACTATATGGGGGATGAAATACTATATGAGGGATGAAATACTATATGAGGGAAGAACTACTATATGGGGGATGAATTACTATATGGGGGATGAAATACTATACGGGGGGATGAAATACTATACGGGGGGATGAATTGCTATGGGGGATGAATTACTATAATGGGGGATGAATTACTATGGGGGATCATGAATTACTATATGGGGGATGAATTACTATGGGGGATGAATTACTATGGGGGATGAATTACACTATGGGGGATGAATTACTATATGGGGGATGAATTACTATGGGGGATGAATTACTATATGGGAGAGGTATTTTCAGTTTTAAAAATGTGGCTCTCAAAATAAATTTTTCATGGTTTTGGCGAGATTTGGCTCAGTTGAAAAAAAAGGTTGCCCACCACTGGTGTAGGCCCCATTTACATACCTCGTAAAGCCTGACTGAAAAACTCCCAGAGACTGCATTTCCCCATTCTGCCTTGTTGCTAAGATGTTGCTAAGACACTCCCGGCTACTACTTTTCACCTTCACCATTACATGGCCAAGCTTTCAAACGCTGAGCTCAAAGCTACTGCATCAGGGGACAAAAAGCACATATGAAGGGGTTTAAATCAGAGAAAGAGCTCTCTCCTGTGATAGTGGAGGTGAACAGTAACAGCTACTGTAGGTATGTCTTAGCAACATCCTAGCAACAAGGGAGATACCATCCCTGGGAGTGTTTCAGTCAGGTTTCATGACGTACATAATTGGCCTCCACCTATAGCAAGGGAATTATTCAACTTTGGTCAGAGCTGCACAGTTTGTTTTTATCTATAGGCACCCCCTGCTTTGCATAGGTAGTTTTTGGTAAAGGTGAACTAGACATTTACAGGATTAGTTCAACTCAGACCAATGTTGGATCATGGTCTTGCTATAGGTGTAGGCCACTTACATACCTCATGAAGCCTGACTGAAAAACTCCCAAAGACTGCATTTCCCCATTCTGCCTTGTTGCTAAGATGTTGCTAAGACACTCCCGGCTATTACTGTACACCTTCACCATTACATGACCAAGCTTTCAAACGCCGAGCTCAAAGCTACTGCATCAGGGGCAGTGGTGTATTTAAGTTTCATGCTACCCTAGGTAACATAAACGGAGAGAGACCCTGACACCGACCAACACCCCCCTCCCCCATGAAGAGAGCCTGACATTGACCAACAATGCCCCAGCACCACCCCCAAGAGAGCCCTCCACTACCACCGCCCCCCATACATTGACAACCCCCCCCACCACCCCGGCAAGAGAGAAGACACTGTCAGAGCTCCAGACATCCCTGGGAACAAGAGTCAGGCTCTGCATACACCATCAAGCAGCCCGCAGTCTCTCTCAGATCCCACCTGCTCCCCATGCTGCGTGTGACCTTTCTTCCATCTCTTCTTTCGGAGGGCAGCACTACCCCCCTGATAAATGCTTCTGCCCCCCTGAAAAATGGCGCCCTAGGAAAATGCCTTGTTTGCCTTGTGGTAAATACACCCCTAGTCAGGGGACAAAAAGCACATGTGAAGGGGTTTAAAGCAGAGAAAGAGCTCTCTCCTGTGATGGTGGAGGTGAAACAGTAACAGCTAGGTATGTCTTAGCAACATCCTAGCAACGAGGGAGATACCATCCCTAGGAGTGTTTC